CTTTTCAAAATTATGGTACCATATTCTTTCAACAACGCAAGTGCTTGTTGGTGGCTGTATGCAGCCTTTGATACTCTTATGATTCGCTCCTCACAATTTGGCCAAAATATCAATTCGGTAGTTCAATATCTACAACATGCAGGCATTTAAACCCTTAAAATAAACAAATTTTCAGAAGCAACAAATTGAAAATTGGACCGCATCATCCTTAAGATTGTTTAAGTTAAATTTTTGCATCATAAAATTCCGCACAATTTTTTTGTACTAAAGATGTGAACATGGATTGGTAAAGGGGATTAAAACCGAAGAAAACTAATCCACTTATCTTTTTGAATATTATACAGTTTACAATTTGTCTATTCTATGTTCCTTTTTGATACTTCATTTTGATTTGACTCTATTTCAAATCTTTTCTCATTCTTATTTAAAAAAATGAAACACAAATTCCTGGTTATGACAAAAATGCTGTCATATGAACTATTATATTTGTTTATACCTGCCTTAGTACTTTTAAAATTTTCTATTTGTTAATATTTGCATCTAGTAATTCATTACTCAAAGTTTATAGCTGTAAAATTTATTGAAGACCCCATGGTAAGCCTGTGGATGACCCCAGGTGGACATACATTTAAGATTAGGGGTTAATTAATGCCCAAATTTCCATTTTTTGCTTTAACTTCATAAGTTTAAAATCTGAGCTTAACTCAGTGTTGTAAAGTGCTTTATTCCTGTGGTTATTAAACACCATGATCGTCTTTCTTGATTTGTATTTCTGTGGTTAATAAATACCATGATCGTCTTTCTTCATTTGTTTTCCGTGGTGGGTTTGTGAGAAACCACAAGATTATATTTTCCACCTTTTATATATATACAATTTTACACTTTGTCATTCATTGTTTAAACATTTGATAATTAGCCTTAATATCCGAATGTAATTCGGGATTTTGAATATTTGTTCATTTTATATTGATGTTTAGCAAAATGGAATACGACCCAATTTTAAACTGGAATTGCAGAAACGCAGACCCTGCACCAGAGGAATTTAAAAGAAAGCTGCCTCCCAGGAAGCAACAACGGAAACCGGTAGCAGGTCAATCTTTTTCAATGGACGACGGGTTAAATAAGAACCCTCGTCACTTTCCCAGTTTAACCCAAAGATTGGAGCTGCAGAAGTGCAGAGAAACCAAATTGGATACGGAAAATCCAAAATATATAACGAGTTTAAAGTACTCGATAAAGGAAAATTTTAACAGATGGAAACTGCCATCGTTCATAGAAGTCGTTAACTCAACGACACTGGAAAAGGCAATGATGCCTATCGACTTCATAACCCAGCCAGAAGGGGTTATAAAGAACGAAAACAACTTCTGGAAGTTAAAGAAGAGGGAGGAACACGGATACATCCTCAAGGCAGGAGGCACGCAAGTCACCATCCCGTTCGAAGGAATAACTGCTTTTCCGAACCATGTAAAAGAAAGCAGACAGGAAGAACAGGACGACATCCAACAACTTACGGACGGAATGAGCAGACTACGAATCAAAAACAAGATTAAAAAGAAGAAAATCGTGAAGTTGCAACAAAAACTAGAGGCTTCACAGAGGAAGATAGCGATCCACAGATCATACAACGTAGAGCTTGAATCCGGAAGGAAGCTCTAGATAAAACCTAACTTATCTTTATAACTTTTTCGTTTGATGTTCTCTTTAAATTTTATAACTATAGTATTTAACCATTAAAGTGTTTAAATTTTCACCATGGTAACTGTAAGAATCGAACAGCTTAATTTTCTAAAAAAAGGGGTGAGTTGTAGTATTGCGAAATACTACACACACACAAAAGACTATTGTCTTAATTGTTTATTTAACGACCCAATTCTAAATTGGAGCGTGCCATTTAAATTAAAGCCTCTTTTCACTAAATCAGATATTGACTGATTTACTCTTATTAGGACTATAAAATCTTGTTTTGAAAATCCACTCCTTTTTAAATACTTGTCCAATTTTTCTCATTTTTTCATGCTCAATATTTTAAAAGGGCGGCGATTATTAATACGTCCCTTTTAACTTAACTTGAAACAAACTGGATAAATATTTAGCAGTCTTGCCGGCTGCACTGAAATTCTCCTTGCTTTGATTAAGCAGAGGTGCACCTGCAATATGATGCATCAGAGAGAGTAATATGAATTTTTAATAAGACAAACTGAAAGCTGCGGTTTTTATCAAAGGGGACTAATAAGTTGAAGATATTTGATTTGAAAAAACCAAATAAAACTAGTTGAAAATTCCCTTATTAAAAAGGGAGAACAAAGGAGCAGGTGAAACCTGAATAATTAAAGATTGAATCAGCCGCCGGTTTATGCTTATGAGCAAAAGGACTGGCCTGAAATCTTCAGTGTTTCATTTTACTCAGTAAGCAGCAAGTCAGTTATCTTCAGTCAGATCTTTTAAAAATAAATAATTTTTCTTTTCTGCCCTAACAATAAAATTAATCTAGCCCTTTTCACTTATAAAAAGAGAATAAATTCTCATTTTAAGTTCGATAAAATTATAAATCGAGATACTCGAGATAACCACACCTGAGGAAGTCTGGACTACAAGTACCCAAAGGACTACGGCAAGACGATTCAGACTACCCAACCAGAAGTGCTGACTTGGACAAAATCAAGGGCAACCATACATACTAATCAGCCATCGACCTTAGTAAGAAGATAAAATATTGATGAACAAAATAAGATTAGCTCAACCTCCCCTCATAGGTATATTTCTTTAAGCTGTTCGATTCGTTTATATAATCTAATAACCCAGTGCTTTGTATCTAACCAACTAATTAATTCATACCTTTTCTAACTATTGTTTCTACTCTACTTTTTGACAAGGTGAGACTTATAATTTAGGATAAAATTACTAAGCATTCAACCAGCAATGAGAGCTTAGTAAACAATAAAAAGTCAGAAATTAAAAAAGTAAATTCCATCATGAAAAAATCAAGTTAAACTTCAGGTCACTTTGTTTGTCATACTTTTTTGTCTAATTTTAACCCAATTTCAGCAGTCTGATTTGGAAAGTTTCAATTTTGGTCGT